GAAGTCATGCAGTATTTGTCTTTATGTGTCTGGTTTATTTCACTCAACATAATGTCTTCTGGGTCATCCATGTTGTCACATGACAGGATTTTTTTCCTTTTAAAGGCTGAATAGCATTCCATTGTTTACATATGCAACACTTTTTTTATTGACTCATCAGTAGATGGACAATAAGGTTGATTCCTTAACTTGGCTAGTGTGAATAATCCTGCAATGAGCATGAGGAGTAGAGATAACTCTTCAAGACACTGATTTCATTTCCTTTGGCTATACACCTAGAAGCGGGATTGCTGGTTTACATGGCAGTTCTGTTTTTATTTTTCTTTAATCACACAGAAGACTAATGGTAGTTCTATTTTTAATTTTTTTAGGAACCTCCATACTGTTTTCTCTAATGGCTGTTCTAAATTTACATTCCTATATCAAGTGTGCGAGTGTTCTCTGTTCTCCACATCTTCTCCAGCACTTATCTTTTGGCTATTTGATAATATGCATTCTAACAGGTATAAGGGGATGTCTCGCTATGGTTTTAATTTTCATTTATTTGCTCTATAGTGATTTTGAGCACCTTTTCATATACATATTGGCTATTTGCATGTCTTCTTTTGGGAATGTCTATTCTGGTTCTTTGCCTAAATCAGGCTATTTATTTTCTTACTATTATTTTGAGTTCTTAATAAATTTTGGATATTAGCCCCTTATCACGTAAAAGGTATACTTTATATACCTTATCAAGTATATCCCTTTTTATAAATTCTTTCTTTACTCTGATGATGTAATTTAGTTTGATGTAATTCTACTTGTTTATTTTTCTTTTGTTGCCTGTGATTTTGGTGTCAAATCCAAAAATGTCATCACCCAGACCAATGTCATGGAGCTTTTTCCCTATGTTTTCTTCTAGTAATTTTACAGTTGTAGTAGGTATATCTTACATTTAAGTCTTTAATGCATTTTGAGCTGATTTTCTTCTATGGTGTGAGGGATCTAATTTCATTTTTCTACATGTGGCTAACAGTTGTCTCAACACTATTTATTAAAGAGACTGTCCTTCCCCTAGTGTGTGTTTTAGCACCTTTGTTGAAAATTAATAGATCATAAATGCATGGATTTATTTATGGGTTCTCTATTTCATTCTATTAGTTTATTTGTCTGTTTTAATGCTAGTAACATCCTGTTTTAACTAATATAGCTCTGCAGTATATTTTGAAGTCAAGTATTTCAATGCCTCCAGCTTTGTTCTTTTTGCTCAAGATTCCTTTGGTTATTCAGGGTCTTTTGTGGTTCAATATTAAGTTCAGGATTGTCATATTTCTGTGGAAAATGACACTGAAATTTTGATAGAGATTTCACTGAACCTGTAGACTACTTTGGGTTGATTGTTAAATAAACATTTTAACAATATTAATTTTTCCAATCAATGGTCACATATATCTTTCCATTTATTTGTACTGTAATCTCTGAAGTGGATGAAGAAGGAAAAAATACTGCATTTACCCCTATCAAACTTCAGCTCAGGCAAACTAATTTAGAGAACTACAATATAAGATCTAGTTCAATTTTTTAAAAGCCTTGAGCTTTTACTCAGCCTCAATTTCAATGTGAGCCAAAAGTCTATGTAATCTTGAATTCTGACTAATACAGAGTTTGGCCTATCTGAAGCACTTTACTCAGCTCTGAGAACCAGACTTTTAAGAGTAATACTAACAAATCAGTGATAAATCAGACTAAGTAAGATTGTTGTGGTTCCAGATGATTAAAGAAACTAGGGATACTTTACCTGGGAGAAACAAGGGAGGAAACTTGGGAAGAGGATTATATAATAGCTAAATTTTAATATTTATTAGTGTTAGGCTCACATTTGAAAAAAACCAGCAGAAAAGATCAAAACACAATATGATAGGTTGGTTTCATATACATAAGAATTTTCAAATAATCTAGCTTATCCAAAAATGTGGTGGACTGCTTTATTTAGTTTTCAAAGATCAGAAGTGTTAAGGCAAAGACTGTATGTCCACCTGTTAGAAATGCTGTTGAGTAGATTGCCTCAGCAGGAAAGATGCTAGAATACAGTAGTGTTTCTCAGTCTGTGATCCTTTGTGCTACCTGAAGTGGTACTATCAAGTTTTGAATAGGTTGCAATTGTTGCTGAGCAGGCAAAATGCCTGACTTCTCCATCCTGGCTTCAACAAAATGTTCTACACATATATCCAGCTTTTGCAGTGGCTTTTATTAGGAGTGGTAGGGTAGGGTGGAGAGAAGTATTACGCTTTAAATAAGTAAATAAATGTTCAAAATTCTAACATGTTATTCATTCCTATTTGTCAACTATATTCTAGGAAAGTAAGATCAACATCTTATTGAGAGGTTACTGCAAATAAGATTAATGTAAATGATTTTGAAACCCTCCTTTTCTTCAGTAAGGGGGCTTTTAGAGTGAAGTAACTGTCTCAGCTCTTCACTTTGCCTGTATCAGCAGAGCCTATAGCATATCTGAGGGAGATTTTATCTTTCTCTGGAAAAGTTTAATGTTTAAACCAAATGTCCTTTTACTTCAGAAATAAGCAGTAGCTGTAGAAAAGTAAATCTTAGAAACACACGAAGTTACAAAATTTTAATTTATACTTCTATAAAGGAAAATACTGGAAAAATTAGTTGCTGTATAACTAAATCATAAGCAAAGAGTATACTATCAAAATAATCATGACTTCTTCAAAAGTAAAAGCAATTTGTTATATATTAAAATACTAAATAGGAAATATATATGAAAGTCCCACATGCTTGCATCTTTAAAATACCACATCTCAAAAGGTACAGATTATTTTATAATTAAATATATGTATATATATATACACACATATATATATTACTCAGTGACCACAATAGTCAATTTACAGAAATTTTTTAAAAACATGTTTTTAATTATCTTACCTAGCTTAAAAAATTAACACAAATCTTACTGTGTCAGCTTTCTTACCATATCTTAGTCACACAAGTAGAATTTGTATCCATTAACCAACTATGGATTCTATTTTCATTATAGTACTATTCAGAAATAACATTAATGGATTTGATTGTTTAGAAATAATTCTGAAGGTGTGTAATCTATATTTTGCTGAGGCACAACTCAGGAGATGACAGATTGGTGTGCAGGAGGCATCCACTTACATAGTAGTTAGTCTGCCCAACCACTTGGTATGAAAGTCTCAACATAGCCTTATTGTTTGTTTGCTATTGATAGTTTTCTATTGATAGTTTTTGTGAGAGAATCAAAAGCTAAATGGTATACCAGATGAAGGGAATTAGGTTTTAAGGTAAAATTCTTATGAACATCAAGGTAAGTCAGAGTCTATTGCATTCCATATGCTGTTTAGTCAGGCATTATTTATAAATTTATGCATAGAATTATGATCATCATACAATACAATATCTGATAATATATCAAAATACTTCCATATTCTTTGCTTTTATTAAAATTTATTTTCTTATAAAAGATAATGTTAATGGCAGAAAATTTAGGAAACAGAATGGCAAAAATGAGACAAAAATAACCCTTTTAAAATGCAAAACAATCAACTTTTAATAGAAAAAGCATTAGTAATTTTAGGAACCCCATTTTAAATTGCTGAGGGATAAGTGAATCATGTTTTTTTCTTCCACGTAATTTAAATTCAACCCTTTGCTCTGGGCCAACTGTACTGCTCAACTCATTTAAATGCTTATACTAAAACCTGGATGCTTTCAGCATCAAAAAGTACAGAATAGAATAAATCTTTAGATTACACCTGAGATTCTCATATGTTACCAAAGCAGGTTATTATTACTAATGTGAAACTATATCATTAAGATTGTAAAGATCATAAAAACTTAAGTAAAATATCTGATGATCAAATTTTCTTTAGGAAGATAAGATAATGGGATTAATGTGATGAAGTTATTACTTATTGTTACTAAGATTTATACTATATAATACTTCTTGATTTTCAGCAACTGTATTTTATACATACATATTTTTAATTTAAAAAAATCTAAAATTCAGAGAGAATATAGCTCCCATGTTCTCCTTTAAATTGTTAAGTGAATTATAATTCTAATGTAAGTATACTTTTTAAGAAAACCAAATCCAAGCATGTCTTTTACATACCTCTTTTTTAACCTACTATCTGCTAAAACATTTTCAAAGATACCTACATTTAAGAAAGTATATGCTAAACAAATAAACATAATAACTGGAATGCTTCTTTGTAAATTGATTAAAATACTATCTAGTAACCTTTGGGATGGGCTTGCAATTTAAAATTTTATTTTAATTACTTATGGAAAGTCACTTTTCTCCTTGTATGTGGCAATTAACACAACATTTTCAATGCATCCGAGAAATAGGTGTAAATCTGCGAACTGAGATTCTTTTCTAGTGACACAGGCCAAAATATTTGAAATTCTGATATCAGGTTTATGTTTCTCACATTGTAGAATGTTAGCTATCTAAATCACATAGACTGTATGATTTCTAAAATTTCAAGCTTATTATAAAGACAGCTGGTAGGAGAATAAATAGTATATTAGTGCTATTACCTTTTAGCCGGTGGCTTAAAATCTGTTCCAAAATAGCTGCAAAATTGTTAAATTCAGGAGAGGAATCATCAATTGTCTCAAAGCAAGACCGATCAATCAGGGTCTTCACAGAAAACCTATGAAAAAAAGATTATTGTTGCTTTTAGGCAGAGTTGATTCATTCCCTAAGTATGAAAAAAATGGGAGGAAGGCAATTTGGGGAAGAATTGTAAAAATATTTTATAAGATTATAAATTCTAAAAACCCCATTTACTCAAATTGACTCTGTAAATAGAAATTTTTTTTCTATTTACAGACCATTTCATTACATATTTCCTACCCGCTCTGGTCAGAATGTTTAACTTCACATGTTGATACCTAATCCCTAGTGCATTACTATTAAGGGTTAGAGCCTTTGGGAGGTGATTTCTTTTTTTTTTTTTTTTTTAAGATATTTTTAGTTCTCCAAATTTGTTATTTATCAGGAGTGACTGAAATAAAAAATATAATTGAGTCCCATCATCATCATCATGGAAATGGCTTTAAGAGAAAACTGGTCAGATGAATATTATTGCTTCCCATTTTCAACCAGTAAATAGTTGCCACAGATAAATTCACAGCCAGGAGTCTGCCGAGAATGCTCAAGATACATTGTATAATACAACATGCCTGTTCACAGGGGGAAAATTCCCAGGAAATAATTGATGTAGTAACCTGTAAGAAATTTGAACTTCAGACGCAAATGCGTTTGAGAGTTTTTGAGCACAAAATAGAATAAAATATGTTGTGAGCATTAATGAGAAGTATATATCTGTATCAGTCTGTTCTCACATACCTGAGACTGAGCAATTTATAAAGGAAAGAGGTTTAATTGACTCGCAGTTCCACATGGCTGGGGAGGCTTTACAATCATGGCAGAAAAATGAAGGAAGAGTAAGGGTTGTCTTACATGGCAGCAGGCAAAAAAGCATATGCAGGGGAATTCCCCTTTTAAACTATCAAATCTTGTAAGACTTATTCATTACAAGAATAGCATGGGAAAGGCCCACCCCCATGATTCAATTACCTACTCTGGGTCCCTCCCAAGAAACATGGGAATTATGGGAGCTACAATTCAAGATGAGATTTGGATGGGTTCACAGACAAACCATTTCAACATCCAAAGTTTTATGAGCTTATAAATATGAAAACCTGCAAATCTGTAAAGTGTGCTATAGTTTTCCTTATCAGAATGTCCTTTGTCTCTATTTTTGACTGTCAAAAACCACGTATTTTCCAAGTCTCAACTACTCAAATGTCACCTTTTCAATGGAGAATTCGCCACCTGCATATACCTAGCACAAACTAACATCTTATTGGTATTAATTTCCCTTAAGAGGCAATTCCAATTTATCTTAACTGCTTTCGTTTTTGTTGTCTATCTCTGTCTTATTAGATCACAAATCCTTCAAGGCAGAAACATGCTTTCTGAAGTTTGTATCTCCCTCACACTTAGGACAATGCCTTGAACATTGTACTTAGTAGGTACCTGTTGATTTATCTGTAAGCTCTATTTTGAAAGAATGACAAATAAATGTTTAAAGGTTCTTTCATGGCAAGACCCAACCTATGGTTTATGAGTTTTAACATGCATAGATTCATATAACCACCATCAAAATCAGGGTACAAAACAGTCTGTCACCTCAAACAACTCTCTCATGCTCTTTTAGTCACATCCTATAAAGAATGGTATATGAATGCCTAAGACAGTGGGGAATCAAAAAGATAAGCAGAGCTGTTAAATAATTAGAAATAAAAACTATAAAGGAGATAAAAGAATACAAACTGTTTTTAGGTTTTTGTCTTGACATTTATGCTATTCAATCAGGACAGAAAATACAGGAGACAGGCATAAAGGGAAATATAGAAAGATTTGTTTATATTGGTTATATCTATACTTATCATACTAGAAATTAAACTAAAATATTTTAAATACAGGCAGTCCTCACTTAGCACAGTGGCACAGGACCATAACAGTAACTCTGCAAGTTGAAACCATGCAAAATAATCTTTACAATTAGCGAAACAACTATAATTATCCTGTGGCCTTTATAAATTTTTGTCAAAACATTAAAAACTTTCTTACAGCCAGTTATAATATATAGGGAAATGAAAATAGTAAAACATTTATTTAGTACACTGTACTTTATAACATTAAAAACATTGAGAATTCAAGTGTTTGCTTCTTTGTAAGAAACCTATGAAGAGTAGTCTGAACAATGCTTGCCTCATTCTTCTCATTGTATAACCTAAGATACAGAGTAAGCCTCTTTTTTGTGTTTTGACAAACTGCCATATTTCTTGAACCAGCTTCCAACATGTTTTCCTTTACACTTCCAGTGGTGTGAAATACCTCTGAGAAGCCCTTTAATGTGAAGTGCTCTGTTAGCGTCACTTCCTCTGGGACATTTTCATCCTTTCTGCCGCAAGTACTTTTCTCATTTTTACATCAACATTTGCCTCCATTAAGTTCCCTTGGCTGCATATCTAGATTCTCTTAAACAGGAGAAATGTGCACATTCCCATGAACAACGACTTCTGTTAACTGCATTTATATTCATGCAAATCTCATTTTGCACATTATCATTTTCCAAGTCTTTTCTGTACTTTCATCTCTGCAAGTTGGCCAGTTCACTCTTTTTGATTATCCACTTTCAGATGCATAGGAACCAATCCTACATAGACATTGAAAGAAGTGTTATTATTGGTGTGTGATTATGATGTGTATTTGTTAGTTACGTTGTCGCTTGTGGACTAAAGAGCTGGTGGCAAAATGTGTATTTTATGCAACTACTTACAGCTGAATTACAGTGGTAATTCAAACTGAAACCATGTTATTGTAGGAGTGACGTTATTTAACTAAATTATGAAATACCAGAACCATGCAAAGTAAGGACTACCTGTATTTTTTACTAATTATACACAAAACAAATTCATCACATGTTGCATAAAAATATATTTTTACGAAAATTATATTTTCCAAAAGAAAAATGTAGCAAGAATAGCACTGTTTATATGTTTGCAAATATCTTTAATGTGTTTAATAGAAGACAATTAGATTCTATTACTGCTTTTGCAATCTGCTATAATAGCCCACATTATGTAGCTTCTGGAAAACTCCAGCATACAGTTGTTAGAGAATGGAAATTTTTAATAAAAAAGACAAAGAAAACAACAACAACAAAAGAGAATGAGAATTTTAAAAGGCAAATAATGTCTTAGAATTGTTAAGAAAATAATTTTAAACTTGTGGACCTCTAAAAGTATCTGGGTGCAGAAGTACACTTCCAAAAATGCCACCCTATGGCATTCTTGCTGTGTAATGAAATAACTCTCCTATGAAACTAGAATGATCCAAATTATATATCATTATATATCTTTGAGATAATTGAGAACATCATTGCTCAAATAATTTTCAGTCTTGGATCAGATGAATAACCCTGATTGGGAAATGCTGAGATAGATTAATATTTGACTACATGACTACATATTCTTATCTACAACAGCAACTGGAGCTCAGTGGAGTAAGTTATCACGCAATGACAGGAAATAACATATATGAAGTAACACTGATAAAGTTAGTTTCTTGTACCTAAAGGATAGTAAAGTTAGACAAATGCCAGATGTAACGCATAGTAAATGGATAGAAACAAAAGGATAAAGAGAAACCAGATTTAAAAGGGACTTGAAAGCTTTTATTTCCTATGTTCATTTCAGTGACAATGCATGAGAATAATGCTGCTAATCCTTGGCAAACTTTTAATATGAATAAATAAATACAATGTGTAGGAAAAGGAAATGAGAAATGTTTCTAAAATGAATAAACACAAAGCACACAATCTCCACGTCCCTATTTAACCTGAATAGAAGGAAATTTTTAAATGTTTTTCTCTAATCTTCATTCAGTAGAATGGAATAAGAAAGCTAACTCTGCAACCACATTCCTCAAGGAAGGAATAACCTACTGCTTTTAAATATTACGCCATTTAAGATAGTATGTCCATAAAATAAATTGAAATTTATATTTGAGAACAAAACTAACAAAGTACTTAATTCATAAAAAAAAAAATCTAGGTTAGAACTCAGTTTCCACCTTTAACAGTCTGATAAGATTTTAGTCACTATTATTCTCCAGGAATAACACTAAATTACCCAACACATTATTTACTTTGTAAAATGTAGTGGGAAGAAAAAGCCATGGCTATTAGCACATATATTTTTGTATCATCAAGAGACATATACGGATCAATCAGTAGTCAACAAAATACACAAACATTTTCTACATTACCAGGAGGTTATATTACTACAGAAGATACCATCTGCATCATAAAAACATAAGATGGCAAACCTCAGAGCACTAAATTACTATAAACTCAACACCTGACTAAAAACGAAAACAAAAGCAAAGTTTAAATATCCCAAAGCATATATCCTTAGACACAATTTCTATGATTTTCAAGCAAAAAGATTTTTAAGGGTGAGAAGGCATTACAAAAATTTCTATTATATCTAAGTCAGTAATGAAGAAAAATAATGTTCTCCAGCTTTGCTTAATTGTACTTATCCTGCTCTCCTCCCTCTAACACAACCCAAAATTTCAGAAGACAAATCAGTCCCTTAAAGTCTATGCTTCACTTTCAGCTAACCAACTCTTCCCACTCAACACTCACTTCTCTAAAATCATATAGCTAGTCATGAGTATATGCCAAAGTAATGAGAATATGCCCTCCATAATACAGTAGCTAAGATGTGCTATAAAAATCAAACTTGTAAAAAGAATTTTAATATAGCTAAGAAATATCACACAGATGCTGAGCTATTTCCTGATAATGATGACATTAATATTAGTCATCTATTCCTGAAAAGGACTGATTTTCAAATAATGAAATGACAATTTGATGAATGCCTAAAAATATCAAATCAAATCTAAGTAAAGCCTTTACATAAGAATTAAAAATCAAAAGTTTACATAAAAGAGACTTAAATTAAGATTTTGAAATGCTGTTTTGAAAATGTCTCTATTTAAAAAGATTCTCTTTCCCACCTTCAAAGTCCAAGGAAATTTTTGTTAGTTTAGAAATAAGAAAGAATGATTGTGATTAAAACCTTTTCACCTCAGAAGGCATGAACTACTTTTTTCCCTTTGTTAACATAGCAAGAGAAATGAGGTAGTTACCAAAGCTATGTTTAAGAGATACTAATTACACCCACATTACATTAATTCCCTCCATAGTTCATAGGCTTGTAACATAATTTTAAATAAAAATAATTAAAAATTTTTAAATGTGAGGACAAATAATTTTCTTAAATGTCTACAGTTTTTATTGGAAAGAAATTATTTTTATAGTAAAATTCATCTTTAATACTTAATGTTCTACATTTATAATATATGTATATCCATATATACACAGAGAGAATAAGTAGGAAAAATGTTATATTCATATTCCTTTTCAACAAGCATATATTATTTGTTCGTTTATCAAATATGCTTCAGAAAAAAATAAATGTTCAAATACTATAGGTTTTCTTACCTATACTATGTTATATACCTTTACATGGAATTATATCTGATGATAACTAAAGTATATGAAAACATCTAGAATCATCACATTTGAAAACTTAAAAGGGCTCACAAAGGTTAAAGTCATTAATAAGAGTGATATTTTTAATAGAACATAAGTATCCAAAATATGAGACAAAGAATTCTCCACTATTTCACACCAAATTTACAATATTCCTTATTATACGCCATTGCTGCTAGTAGTTGCTAACAAAGGGGTGAGGCAACTATCCTCTGCCATTAAAATAATAGTCAACATCAATGATCAACAGGGAGATGGCTTCCAAGAGATACAACACAATCCACATCAAACATAATATAAGTAGTGACTATAATTGATAATAAGCACAATACCCAGAGATATCTGTTCACTGGAAGGCCTATTTCCTCTCTTATACTTTACATCAGAAACACAAGATAATTTTTCAGAATCAACAATTTGCAGGTCGAGGCATGGTGGCTCGCACCTGTAATCTCAGCACTTTGGGAGGCCAAGACAGGTGGATCACCTGAGGTCAGGAGTTTGAGATCAGCCTGGCCAACATGGTGAAACCCCATCTCTACTAAAAATACAGAGGTTAGCCAGGTGTGGTGGCACATGCTGTAGTCCAAGCTACTTGGAATGCTGAGGCAGGAGAATCGCTTGAACCTAGGAGGCAGATGATGTTGCAGTGAGCCGAGATAGTGTCACCATACTCCAGCCTGGGTGAAAGAGTGGGAAAACAAAAACAAAAACAATTTGCCTTCTTTTTCCAAATATTATGCATGTTAAGAATTCTCAAACATCATGTGTATTTTCCTCTTTATTTTCTAATATAATTTTAATCTATTTAAAAGATTTTATAATGAGAAAAAATCTTTCACGTACTGGTTAAGCAGGGGTCTATAGACTGTTGTCCACAGGCCTAATCCAACTAGTTCCCTGTTTTTGTAAATAAACTTTTATTGGAGCCAAAAAAGTTGCAACCATTGTCCCTGAAATTTGTACCCTGAAACATGAAACTCTCTTTGTGATATTTTATTGCCTCAAAAAATTTTACCCAGTGTAAAAATCTACTTAAAAATAAAGGAAGAAAGCAGGGCCAGGTGTGGTGGCTCAAACCTGTAATCCTAACACTTTGCAAAGTCAAGACCACAGGATGGCTTGAGGTCAGGAGTTGGAGCAACAAAGCGAGAACCCCATCTCTATAAAGAAATTTAAAAGTTAGCCAGGTTTCGTGGAAAGAGGCTGTTATTCTAAGCAACTCTGAAGTCTGAGGCAAGAGGATAACTTGAGCCACGGAATTTAACGGTGGGCTATGGTCATGCAGCCTGTGTAACAGAGCAAGACCCTGTCTCTGAAAAAAGAAAATTTTAAAAATTAAATAAAGAGACAGATGTGTATTTAAAATATTTTCTCCATCTGTACTGTCAAAATTTATTTTAAAAGAGAATTGTTAATCTAGACACTTAAGAATGGAAATACTATATTATTAACATGTTTTATTGCTATATAAGCAGACTGATGACAGCAGATTGCCCAACATAAAAATTAATGTTAGAAGCACAATCTTAAAAAATGACAAAATTTTCTAAAAAGATTCATCTAAAATTAGTAAGCTATTAAACCAAAAAAACTTCCCATCTTAAAATAAATTGGTTCAATTTCATATCAAAGAACTCCCAATTAAGATTATTTTAATAAAGAACACTTTATATACTTGAATCACATATCCCTTGGGAATCCAACTGTTCTTTATCCAAGGGCAGATGAAAATATTCAAATAGATTACTTTAACAGAAGTGAGCTTGCTAGTAAGCTAAACATTCAAAGCAGCAATAGAATAATATGAAGAACAGAAAAAAAAATAATATCCAGTCCTTATGGTTTATCAACACTAGAATGCTAAGAAAATAAAAGTTCCCAGTTTCTGTCTATGACTCAAATGCAAACACACACGTGAATTAGATTCAGCTGACTTGTATCACTGCTAATCAAAACAGCATAATATTAAAAAAAAAAAATAGGTTTTGAAACCAGATATATTTGGGTTTGAATTCTGGCAATGTTAGTCTTAACTATAAAATAAATCTAATTTAAATAAAAATTTGTGATCAAAGCTGAATCTAATATATTTCCTCGAAAAGGATATTGCCCATGTATAAATAAAATAAATATATTTTCTTATCATGTTAGATATAGATGTTTTATGGTTGATTTATTAAAATTTTAAATTGTTTTTAATATTAATTTTGAGATTAGACCTGAAATACAACAGAAGATTTGTTTTTATAAATACTAAGGTTTAAAAATCACAAAATCTAATGTTAAATATGAATCTTTGGAGGATATTGCTTTCCTAACCTCTTCTAAAGACAATCACCATCACTGGAGATAACAGACAATAAATCATTTTACTTAGCTAAAACAACAAAATGTGTGTATTACATCCATTTCCTGTCTTTTATAAAATATTTTTAAAACAATATTGGAGGACTTTTTTGGAATGTGCATTCTAGTGTCAGAGTGAGAAAGGAGTGCAGGGAAGAAGAGCTCTTTCATTTAGTACACATTCAGCTATTAGCCTGCTTTTGGTAAACAGTAGTTACTGTGATTATTTACCGTCTCCCCAAAATCAGAGTGCATTTGTTGTTTTGGCTTGCTGGAGGAAGGGTGCTAGAAAATAAACCAAAACTAAGTTGAAAACCCTGAAAGGCCAGGAGCAAATTCTAAGACTAACCACAGTTAAAACCCAGCCTGGATTCAACACAGTCCCTGACTGGATGAAAGCAATCAGCTACTACTCTATCTTCTGGAGGAAAATGAACACTAGTAAAGCAAAGTGGGCATTAACCTACACTATTGGCCATGAGCACTAGCAAGCTGTTCGTCATATCTTTCTAAAATTAAGTTTACTCCACTGTGGTCTTTTTCTATTTTATACTATATTTTCATGAATACTTTGACACATAAGGGTGAGCATGATAGTACTAAAAGAACAGCAAAATATTAAAGAAAGAACTTAATATTATGTGACATTCAGTAACATTCTGGATGCGACAAAAGATAGGAATACACGACAACGAAAGGAGTAAGAGAAAAAACAGATCATAAAAGTAGATATAAAAATAATTCTAAATTCTAAATTAATAAGAACTTTAAGATAAATGTGATTAATATGTTCAAAAGACTAGAGGAAACAAAGGACATAGGTAAAAATATAGGTTTTTAAAATCAGAGGGTTAGAGTCTATTTAAAAAGAATCAAATAAAAATTCTAGAACTACCTGAAATTAAAAACTCATTCAATGGATTAAACAGTAGAACAGACACAGCATAATTAGTGAACTAGAAAAAGAAGTCAACAGAAAACATACAAGCTGAAGCATAAAGAGAAACAAGAATAGAAACCATGGGTAAGAATATGAATGAAGTGAAGCTTGGTAAAGTTTAACATAATTTAATTGGAGTGTAAGAAGATAATGGGGACACATGTGGTGCCTCATGCCTGTCATCCCAATGCTTTCAGAGGCTGATGCATGAGGACTGCCTGAGGCCAGCAGTTCAAGACCAGCCTGGGCAACACGGTGAGATCCCATATCTACAATTTTTTTTTTTTTTTAAATTAGCTGGGTGTGGTGGTGCATGTCTGCAGTCCTAGCTACTCAGAGGCTGAGGATCACTGCAACCCAGGATTTCAGGGCTGGAGTGAGCCACTGAACTCGAGCCTGGGCAACACAGCAAGACTTCATCTCTAAAAAATAAAATGTAAAAAGAAGAAAATAACTAAAATTTATCCAAAACCAAAGAAGTGAAAATGGAAAGAGTAAATATGTAGATATACATAAATGTGTATTTCCTAAATATCTATTGAAAAATAGGGTAATAATGTTGTAAGATTTAAAATATATATATACACACACTCACACACACACACACATATGTAAGTATGTTTTAGGATGAGGGGGAATAAATGGTTCTAACACTATTGGAGAAGCAGTAAAAGTTACAATTGCATTAGACTGTAACAAATCAAGGATAACTGCCAAAAGAATAGAAATATGTATAAACATATTAAAAGAAATGGACTATATGACTAACAAGTTCACAAGTAAAAAACTGAAATCATGGAATAAATGGAACTATAAAAATGTTAATATTTAAGAGGTAAGAAAAGAGAAAAAAAGCAAACATACAATGAACAGTAAGATATCTATAAATCCAAATATAATAGTAATAACATTAATTAAAATGGGCTAAATACTCTAAAAGACTAAAATTATCAGACTAGATAAAATGCAAAATTCAATCCTATCTTACCTACAAGGACAGTCTAAATATAAGACCCCAGAAAGAGAAAATGTGAAAGTAAAAGATGGAAAAAGAGACATCATATGAACATCAACTAAAAAAAAGCTATTATAACTATATTAATAGCAGATAAAACAGACTTTAAAGCAGTAGCATTACTAGAGATAATGAGGGACATTTCATGATGACAAATGAATCAAACTACTAGGAAGAGATAACAATTTTAAATCTCCATAAAATTAGTAATAAAACAAAATATTTATAGTAAAAATGACAAAACTAAAGGGAGAAACTGATGAATCCACAGTCATACATGTAGACCTTAACACATCTCTCTCAATACCAGATAGTATACAAAAGAAAAGTAAGACTACAGAGAATATGAACAAGGCAATTAAAACACTAGACTTAACTGACATAAAAATCATGCAATCAACAATCACAGAATACACATTATTTCCAAATGGAGATAAAATATATGTTGAAATCAACCATATGTTGCATCATAAAGCAAGCATCAACACATTTCAAAATCTTGAATCTTTCAAAATATGTTCTCTGCACAATAGGTTACAAATCTACAAATAAAAGATAACTAAAAAACTTTCAACTGTTTGAAAGTTAAACAATAGAGTTTTAAATAATATGAGTCAACAGAAAAAATTAATAAAGTCATAACACAAGTCAACACAGAAAATTAACAAAGTCAATTTGTCCTTTGCTGGTTCTTTGAAAAAGTTGATAAAATCCATACATGCCTAGCAAAATAAATGGGGAAAATGGAGATTACAGTACCAAGAAAGAAAAATGAGAAATCAGTACAGATCTTTCAAACAGTAAAAAGACATTAAGAGGATATTATGAAAAGTAGGTTTTTCTTAAACCTGTAAATTTAACAATATAAATGAAATAGGTATATTCCTTGAAAAACCTCCTGAAACTGATACCAGAAGACACAGGAAATCTGAATTGTTCAGTATTTATTAAATTAATTGAATCTGTCACCAAATGATTTCCCACAAAGACAATTTGTGGTTCATATTGCTTCCCTGGTGGATTCTTCCAAATGTTTAAGAAAGAAATAATATCAATCTTACACAAACTGTTCTACAGAACAGAGGAAAAAAACAAACAAACAAAAAAAAACGACTTCCCAACTTGTTTTATAAAGCCAGATAACCTTAATGACAAAACCAGACAAGAACACTATAAGAAAGGACAATTACATAGCAATCTCCACCATGAGCAAATATGCAAAAATCCCAAACAAAATATTAACTCCCTGAATGCAAAGATATGTCAAAAATATAATACATCACAACTGATTGCTTTTTTATTCGAGTGGTTTAACATGCAAAAGTTAATAAAATTCACTACAAAAACAATAAAAGGGAAAAATCATGTTTATCTTGAAAGACAAAAACCATTTAGTAATACAATTATCAGTATCCATTTATGATAAAAATTCTCGGCAATTTAGAAATAGAAGGAAACTAAGAAAAACCTACTCCAAACATCCTACTTAATAATGAAATTTTGAACGTTTTCTGTGACACTCCATTAGTGGCCCTAGCCAGTACAGTAAGACAAGAAAGAAAAGCCATAAAGATCGAAAAAGGAAGACATAAAATAAGCAGACGACATGACTGTGCACTCAGAAAAAAATGTTTTAACTTCAAAAAATCTGTTAGAATTAATAAAGGAATCTGGTAAGACTGCCAGATATAAGACCAGTGTTTTAAAACGTCAAGTTTATATACCAACAACTACAAGAACATGAAAAGTTTTGAATTATTTCAGTTACAATATAAAAATATATCAAATATGCAAGAACAAATCTAATAAGAGATGCATAATACCTATATATGCAAAACTATATTATTGAGAAAAATTCCAAAACATTTAAATATATCAAGAAATATATATGCTCATGGGTTGCATATAAATCTTAATAAAGATAGCTTTCCTGAAACTGATTTATAGTATCAGTGCAAGCTTAATAAAAATCCCAGAAAAAAATTTTAGGAGAAATTGACAAGTTGATTTTAAAATTTAGTTTGCAAAAGGCCAAGAATAGCCAAGATAATTTTGAAAAATAAAGCTAGAAAGCTTATATTACTAAACATCAAGATAAAGTTATAGTTATTAAGTCAGTACAATATTAGCTCAGGATAGACAAATAGACTACTGGAGAAAAGAAATTCTAGAAACAAACCACCAATGATCAGTCACCTAAGATAAGCGTAGTACATTAGGGTAGTGGAGAAAGTATGGTTGATGTAGTTTGGCTCTGTCCCCACCCAAATCTCATCTTCAATTGTAGTTCCTATAATCCCCACAAATTGTGAGAGGGAGCTGATGGGAGGTAAGGTAAATCATGGAGATGGTTTCCCCCATGCTATTCTCATGGTAGTAAGTAAGTTCTGACAAGAACAGATGGTTATATAAGGGGCTTCTTCCTTCACTTTGTTCTCATGTTCTCAATCTTCTCTCTCCTGACACCTCATGAAGAAGGACATGTTTGCTTCCCCTTACACCATGATTGTAAGTTTCCTGAGGCCTCTCCACCCCTGTGGAACTGTGAGTCAATTAAACCTCTTTCCTTCAGTCTTGGGTATGTCCTTAAAGCAGCATGAGAAGGGACTAATACAATGATCTTTCCAATAAATGGTTCTAGGTCAGTTGATTTTTCTTAAATCAATATTTAAGAAAATCAATATTTAATCTTGAACCCTATTCTTCACACCATAAATAAAAATAAACTACAGATGGCTTATTGATATAAATGTAAAAATAAAACAACAAAGTTTTAGAAGAAAAAAGAATATTTTCATTACTTTGGAGTAGGCTGGCTTCTTAAGCCCATTACAAAAAGCATTAACCATGAAGGAAATTTACGGACCATTTTATAACCAGAAATTTCTGTTCATCAAAACATACCACCAAGTGGAAAATAAAGCCACCAAATGGAAGACATTTGCATTACATATATCCAACAAAAGATTCCCACACAGAAGGTACAAAGAACTACACATCCAAAAAACAAACAAAAAGCAAAGACTCCAGTTGTTAAGTGACTTGAATTGACAGTTCACAAAATAAAATCTCCAAATGGCCTACAGACTTATGGGGAAGTGCTTGACTTCATTAGACATCAAGGAAATGCAAACTAAAGCCATATGACACCCCAACAAACATACAAGAGTGGCTAAAATGAAAGAAAATTTCAAGCATTAGTGAAGATATAGAACAACTGGAACTCCTACACACACTGCTCACTAGTATGAGTGTTAGTACAACTCCTTTTGAAAACTTTTGTATCTACTGAAGCTGAATATCTGCATGCATGCTATATGACTCAGCAATTCCACTCCAAGCTAATGACCTGACAGAAAAATGTATACATTGTCACCAACATAAGTATCTATGAATTAAATTAGTAGTAGCCAAAAAATAGAAACAACTCCAATGTCAATCAGTGACAGAATGAGAAAACTGTGGTATATTCATTCAATGGACTAAGATACAGCAATGAAAATGAACACACTACAGTAACATTAAACAAAAAAGATGAACCTAACAAACATGATGTTGAACAAATAAGCTAAACACAAAAAAGGACATACTGTATTATTCCATTCATTTAAAATATTTAAAAAGGCAAAACTAAACAATGATGCTAAAAACCAGGAGTATAGTTTCCCTTAATACTGGTATTAACTACAAGAAAACAGGAGGAGGTCTTGATATTTGAACAGTTCTTTCTCTTGACCTGGGTGCTAGCTACAACATTGTGCCCTACCACAAAAAATTAATTGAGCTGCATACTCACTCTATGTGTGCTTTTCTGTATGGAAAGTATAAGTCAATAAAATTTTTATTAAAAGTATAGTGGCATAGTAGAGCTAGAAATAAGGCTAAAAGCATGATCATTATGTTCTACATATCTCGTACATTTTGACCTCAGACTTGACACTAAGACTTCTAAC